AAGTCTGTCTTGTTCACCACTGTTTTCCTAATGCCTAGTACAGGATCTGTGCATGGGAGCCATTCAACAAGCTGGAGATGTTATTTTAGGGGGTGGGTACCTTTAAGGACCAAGCTACCGTAGCTGACTGGGTGAGGCATCATCAGGACCCAGCCATTGCCTTGTGATACATATATAGCACATTCGCAGACCCCAGATTTTCATGCTGCCTCTCTCCTTGCGGTCAACTCTTGTGAATTCTGAGCATGAACATGCTTAAGGCAAACAGATAAATCTGTATTTCTGTGGCCTCTTTAAAGTTGTTTCCTTGAGCAAACTTGCTCCCACTGTCTTCGAGGATGATTCCTAATGGTTTTTCATTGCTCCTTTTTCATTTTAAACTTGAGTTCATTCACACAAGGGGAAGAGAGTGAAATAGATTCATCAATGACCCTTAGCTTTGTGGGAAATGTGCCATGTGTTCAGGGAGCAATAAACCAACCCAGACAAGTCTGAGGCAGCAGAAGGCACTCTCTGGAAGAGCTAAAGCAGCCAGTGTTTTTGATGTTGGCATTGCTGATGTTTGTTATATAACATTCCTTGTTTTAAAAATTGTTCTGTTTTTCTACTCAAGTCCAATTTTTCAGCAAAGATGCTGACAGGATTAAGGATTTACATTAATCTAGACAGTTTGGGGAGTTATTTCAAATGTACCCTCTTTTGTTGGATGAGTTTCCAGGGGTTACAAATGTGCACTTGCCCATCTCCAGGGCCTTTAAATTGTCAGGAGAGTTGAAATTTTATCATGCCGTTATTTCCCCTAAAAGGAAGATGGGTGTGCCCTAAATTCCCTTGGGAAATCCGATAACTTCCTTTGGTTTCAACTCATGCTAAAAATATTAAGTCTGTGAAGAGGAATCTTACGAAGGTCTTTCTTTTTGCACATACTAAACTAAGCCAACTTCACATTTATTCTCACAACCCCCCTAGAAGGCCCCACAGTATTTCTCTCCCTATCTATGTGGGGAAACTGAGCATCCTTAAATGTTTCGATGTGTCTGCTGTCTCCCAGCCTGTACCAGTTATGATTTCAGTGCCTCCTAGCTCCACGCTCACCCTGCTCTCTCCTGCTTTGTGAACTGGACACCCCACAAACCTCATTTCTCCTTTGCCTGCAAACAGGCGGCCCTGGTGGAAGGCGGCCAGGCTGGAAGAGGAAGGGACTGTGCCAGTTTTCTAGGACTGTCGTAACAAAGGACCACAGACTGGGAGGCTTAACACAACAGAAATGTAGTCTCTCGGGGCCTAGAACTCTGAAACCCAGCTGTGGGCAATACTTGTGCCTTCTGTAGCTTCTAAGGGAGACTCTGCCCCCTGCCTCTCTTCAGCTTCTGGTGTTTCTGGCAAACCTTGATGTTTTTTTGTTTTTTAAAATATATTTTATTGATTTTTTACAGAGAGGAAGGGAGAGGGATAGAAAGTTAGAAACATCGATGAGAGAGAAACCTATCAGCTGCCTCCTGCACACTCCCCACTAGGGATGTGCCTACAACCAAGGTACATGCCCTTGACCAGAATCGAACCTGGGACCCTTGAGTCCTCAGGCCGATGCTCTACCCACGGAGCCAAACTGGTTAGGGCGAAACCTTCATGTTTTTTAGCTTGTAGATGCACCACCCCAATCGCACCCATTGTCACATCCCTTTTCCCTCGGTGTGTCTGTATCTTCACCTGGTGTTCTCTTTTGTGTGTCTGGCTTTGTGTCTCTCCTCCCCTTCTTGTACAATCACATTGGATTGAGGACCACATTCCAGTATGACCTCATCTAATCTTACATTTTAATTACATCTGTAAACAAAAACAATAACAGTACCGCTTTCCAAATAAGGTCATGGTCATAAGCAACAAGGGCTAGGATTTCAATACATCTTTTTGGGAGGATACAAATCAACCCACAACAGAACTATTCTTTTCCTTTGTTTTTGTTTTCCTGTGAGATCCACTCCTCGGGCAAGTGATGGTCCCTGCGGAGTTCACACCGGGGCCGTGGCTCTCAGGGTCCAAGGCAGGTCATCTCCAGGGACTTTCCTCTCTCAGGGGCAGGCTGTGCTCTGCCACCCACCACTCCTCCAACCCCGAGGTCTGACTCTCAGCCCTGCAGGACACCCCTCCAAGTTTCCCCATTCTCTCCTTGTTCATATTGGTAACTATCATCTACAGTGGGTGCTCCTGTTAAACTTCAAAGTCCTCTTTTACTGGTTCCAATAGTTAATCACTTTATAGTTAGTCAACAGTTCTTTCTATTAAGTTATCTGTTAAAGTCTCCATCTTCTGACTGGCCTGACACCTGGGTGGTAAGAGAACTCACGCTGAAGGTGTGGTGTTGTGCTTAAGGATCTGACCTCCCTCTTAGGAGAGAACACTGGAACTTATAACCAATCCTCAATTTCCTACTGAAATTGTGAAATGACATGAATGAAAGTCACACATCCTAGCTAGTTTTGAAGGCAGGGAAAAGGCAAATAAATGTAGAACTTTCTTTAAAGTCTGTTCTGGTTTCTAAATATCTACAGGTAATGAACAGCACCTCGGGTATCCCACTTTCTTCCATTTGTCACCAGAAACCCACTGTGTGCAGGCACCCCATTTTCATCTCCTGGCAACACGATGACATTGCCCTGGCTTACCTCTTCTGATGTTAGCTGTGACCTTGAGTTCCTTTGTCCAATAAAATGTGAAAGGAAGTAGTTTGTGTTATTTTCAAGTAGAATTTTAAAAGCCATTATATGACCATGATGTAGCTTTTCCCCTGCCCTGTCAACCGTGGAAGCATAAATCAAAACAGAACTTCCACCCGCCCATGTGACTGCTACGAACAGAGCACCCAGCCACCTGAGCTGCACATGTAGCTTGAGTGAGAAATGAATGGTTGTTGGACCATTTATTCCTGAAGCTCCCAGGACCTGTCCTGATTAGTACACATAGACTTGCATGTCCAGGGGCACTCTCTCAAGCTCATGCATTGTTTATAATTTGTTCACTTGTCTCCTGCGATGCTGTGCTTTCTTGGTGCCCCTTCACCCTCACTGGCTTCTCCTTGTTTGCAACGTTGCTGGATTCTTCTGCCATTCTGTTTTGTAGATGCTACAATGCAGCAGGATTCAAGCTTCCTCCTCCCTTCTTTCCTATCTATACTCTCTCTCCCTCTTCCTAGAAAATCACATTCAGGCTCCAGGAATAAATTTATACTTGCCCTGGAATCATCCTAATTACCAAACACACGTAATAAACTCCCTGTTAGTCATCTCTCCCTGTTGCTGTCTCATGGGCAGCTTCACATTTTGGATACCTAACAGAAATGCTGGTTCTGCTCCACACCTGCAAAATCTTCTCTGCTCATACAACCACACCAGCATTCATCCAGTGGCTCAAACCCCAAACCTAGAAGTCACTCATGATTCCACTCTTTCTACCACCTCTCCCAGGCCCTCCTCCAATCCACCAGAAGTCCTACTGAGGTCAATTCAAAAATATTTACCACATCTGATCACTTATCACCACTTTTTCCCATGCTCCTATTCCAGTGATGGCAAACCTTTCGAGCTCGACGTGTCAGCATTTTGAAAAACCCTAACTTAACTCTGGTGCCACGTCACATATAGAATTTTTTTGATATTTGAAACCATAGTAAAACAAAGACTTATATTTTTGACATTTATTTTATATATTTAAATGCCATTTAACAAAGAAAAATCAACCAAAAAAATGAGTGCGCATGTCACCTCTGACGTGCGTGTCGTAGGTTCGCCATCACTGTCCTATTCCAACTCATTCATCTGACACCAAGTGAACTGCAATAACCTTTTAGTCTTTTTGTTTTCACTCTGAGACCACCCATGCCCATTTTATAGACATTAGCTCTAGAGTTCTTTTAAAAATATAAATTACATCATATTTCTCTCTACTTCAAAACCTCCAATGGGCTTCTGCTAACTTAGAAACCTCATAGTTATTCTTTCAGAAAATGTAACTGAAGTTCAAAACTATAGGTCTTCTTTCAGTTTTTAATAATAATAATAATAATAATAATAATAATAATAATAACTTGAAAGAATGGAAGACTGCTGATGTGGGCATTTGAGAAGTTAAACTGCCCAACTAGCATCACAGCATTACTTGTTGTCAGGTAAATGTAGTTCGCATGCATATAAATCCCACAAATTCAAGTGAAATCTCTGCTTATTCTTCTGTCAACATAGGTGAGTTTCCATTTGTCTATTTGCTATGGAGGTCAAAGAGGTTTCCTGTAAACTTGAAGAGGCTCTTAAAATTTCCAGGACTGTTGACATGTATCCTTGAAACTAAAAATATCTATTATGTAATACCCTTTGTAATAAATAATAAAATTAAAAAAAATAATAAAAAAATAAAAATATCTATTATAAGTGATCATATGTAAGGTTGTTTTGTTTTAAAAAACACACACATTTGTTCAATTAAAGTTATTAATTAAGTTTGTCATGGGAAATTGAATTTTACCCTTATGACAATTATTTTGCTCTGACCTCCCTCATCTAGCTCAAATGAAACAAATAAATGTAAAAGACCTATACAGATTCTCTTAAACCTAGGAATAAATCTAAGATGCATTTCTTTTTTGTAATAATTTATAAGTAATAATAAATTGTTTTGAACTCAATTAGCATGAAAACACAAAATAGACTCTCAGTTTTTCACAAAACTCCTTATCTTGGTTCACAAGGCCTTATGTGATTGGATTTTCATCTACC